TTTTAATAAAACCTTTTAAAGACAGTTATATAACTGAATCATTATTTTCTAATGATTCAACTTTATATTTTTTTATCTTCGTGAAGAAGGAATTGAACATGAAGATCTTAGACCTTATATTTCAAATATCATAACTGTTATCCCGGCTTTTGAACAATTAATTGAACAAGAAGACAAAGTTATCGAAAAAGAAAAAAAGAAAAATCCGAGAATAGACATCAAAATTTTTAAGTGGATAAAAAAAAGGGTATTTAAGCCTAAAAATCAAGAACACATTCAAAATTACAATTTGCCTTTAGCAATTTCTATTTGTATCACTTCTTACGTTAGTAAACAAGTTAGGAATAAGATTGTTGGATCTTCAGCGGCTAAAATTTTATTTATTAACTTGAATATTCTTGTCGATTCTTTATCTGGTTGCGAAAGAATTTTAAGAACACCAATTCCCTTGGCATATGCAGTTCATATAACACAAACAGTTTGGCTTTATTGTATTACCTTATCGTTTCAATTAGTTTCTACGCTTCATTATACTACTATTCCTATAGTGTTTATTGCATCTATTATTTTATTTGGTATTGAAGCAATTGGTGAAGAAATTGAGAATCCGTTTGGATATGATTATAATGATTTGGACTTGGATGGTTTTTGCAAGTAAGTTCACTATTTTACCTGATCGAATACATATATAAAATAACCAAAATTTATTTATGTATATATATATAGTGACATTAAGGAAGAAGTTGAACAAATCACGAAATATCCACGACCAAAAGCTGAAGATTGGGATCATGAAACAAACTCGATGATTGATCTTAAAGAAAAGATTCTTTCGAATTCTTATAGTAGTAATATTTTTGACATGGTTTTAGACATTACAGCAACACATGATGATCTTGAAATTGATCAAAGTTTTCAAAATTTGTAAATAAACTAGTAAAATGGTTTTATTATCAATTATGTCCCTACCAGACTACGATTGCAAAAATTGTGTCCGTATGTACGTATTTGGTTACCCGATCGGAACCGGATGACGTCTCACTCTGAATTTGTATAAGTACTAACACTAAGCAGTTAATTTTATTAACTGGCAATAAATCATGAAATTAATACGTACATTCATTGAAAAACAATTACGTACGTACGTACTCACAGAATAATCTAAGTAGAATTCTTATACATTAAACGTTAAAATCGGGTTAACCTTAAAATGATTTGATTAGCGCCAGCCATAATTTTCTCATGATTTTGTGTAGCGGTAGATCTTGACTAACAACATAAAAAAAATCCAGATCACCTGCATTAAGAATTATCTTTCGAGGTCTCTATTCTATTTTTTTTGGGTTAATATCAGGATTGGGTTAATAAAGAGTTCCATGGAGATGGCGCAATAAATTGGAGATCCCGTGACTGATCTAACAATTTTGGTTTCGATATTATACTAAAATTTTATCTAATTATATATACATATATATATATATATATATATCATTTAGGCAGTCTTGCTGGTAAGCCTTTATTTAATTAAATTGTTCATGGCGATCCAGATAGTTAATTAAATTTGAGGTCTGACATCCCGTGGTTGCTCTTGTGAGTGTCCACAAGCGATCGCCGCATTGGAATGAACTAGAGATCGTCCCGTAACGCGCCGTAACTATATTTAATAATTATAAAAAGTTACGGCAAACATGCCGTAACTTTTTATAATTATTTAATATTTGTTACGACAAAGTTACGGCATCATTGGGACGATTCGCCTGCACCTCTATAATAAACCAAATCCTTAAAATTTAAACCCAGGGAGCTCATTAGTACAATAGAATATCATCAATCTGATAATATCTTCTTGTAGGGAAGTGAAAATCTATAATTAAACCAAAAACATAGAAAAGGGAACTTACAAAAAAAAAAATACATAAAGAACAAAAATAGGAAAAATGAAATCATTGATAATAAAAAAAACTGGTTATTTTAGGTTATCTGACTAGTTATATAATTTGATTATAATCTTATAGCGATAGGAAGACATTTTTATGATTAGTTAATTTTCGTAGATCTATTTACAATTTCTCATAATAATTAACTAATCAAAATATATAAATTTTTTTTTTCTCTAGCAGTCTTGTCGATATCTTTATTAAGTTTTATATATATCTATTTAATTCTACATATCATATTTAAACTATAGATTCGATATTTTTTAAGAGTACCTAGAAACAGTCTGTTATATTAGCTAAGAATTTATCTACACTAGAGGGTTGTAATGTTCTTTATAAGCGTTAAAATTTGAAGTGATGAAGGATAAAAAAATATAAAGTTGAATCATTAGAAAATAATGATTCAGTTATATAACTGTCTTTAAAAGGTTTTATTAAAA